CCAGCAGCAGCATCATCAGTATCATCAGCATCATCAGCATCAACAGCATAATCAGCATCATCAGTATCACCATCATTACCATCATCATCAGCAGCAGCATCATCATCAGCGTCATCAGCATCATCGTCATCATCAACATCATCATCAGCATCATGATCACCATCATCATCATCCTACCCATCCCCTTCCCCCTTCTCCTCAAGCCAACTCTGACCCCTGATTCATCCTGTTCATTCCTCCTCCGCCTCAATTCTCCCTCATACCCATCCTCCTCCGCATCCGTCCCTCCCTTCCTCCGTCTGTGGGGAGCCAAAATTAGCCTGGCGAAGGACCCAACCATATGCAGTTGTGAGTAATGCTGGTGTGAGTACCGTCTTCGGTGGATCTCCCTATGGGGCCACGAACCGTGTGAGGGATGTGCCGAAATGGGTGTGGGGGCGGCATGCGAACGTTGCCACTGGGGCCTTCGGTGGAGCTCCTTATGGGGCCACGAAACGTGTGAGGGGTGCACCGAAGTTGGTGTGGGGCGGCATGCGAACGCAGCCACTGGGGCCTTCGGTGGAGCTCCCTGTGGGGCCACGAAACGTGTGAGGGGTGTGCCGAAATTGGTGTGGGGGCGGCATGCGAACGCAGCCACTGGGGCCTTCGGTGGAGCTCCCTATGGTGCCACGAAACGTGTGAGGGGTGTGCCGAAATGGGTGTGGGGGCGCATGCGAACCCAGTCACTGGGGCCTTCAGTGGAAATCCCAATGGGGCCACGAAGCGTGTGAGGGATGTGCCGGAATGGGTGTTGGGGAGGCATACGAACCAGGCCACTGGGGCCTTCGGTGGAGCTCCCTATGGGGCCACGAAACGTGTGAGGGGTGTGCCGAAATGGGTGGTGGGGAGGCATGCGGGCCCTGCCACTGGGGCCTTCGGTGGAGCTCCCTATGGGGCCACGAAACGTGTGAGGGGTGTGCCGAAATCGGTGGTGATGATGATGATTCGACGACGACGACGACCGACGACGCAACGACGAACGACGGAGACGACGACAATGATTATGAGATGATGTGATGGATTGATGATGATGATGTGAGATGATGATGAATGATGATGATGATGATGCTGATGATGATGATGATTGATGATGATGATGATGATGATGATGATGATGATGATGATGATGATGATGAGGAGATGATGATGATATGATGATGATGGGAGGAGGGAGGGGGGGGGAGGAGGAGGAGGTGAGGAACGCGGGGCGCCGTCTCTTCAAAACGAGGACCCAACACCACAGGATGGTTGGGAAAAATATCAATGACACGCCGCCGTGGGGTACTATTAGCGTGCTACTGTTGAAGAAGACCTGGAATCAGGACAAAAACAAAGGAGCAACATCGACATGTCAGTGCTGCTCTTTATCCCTCCATCCCTTCTCCTCCTCCTTCAACACCATCCTCCCGCCATCCTCCCAAACGTTCCCTCCCTACTGGCCTCTGGAGCAAACCGAGTGCAGCTCATGCCCAGGCCACGCGGGGAAGCAGGCGGCAACCGAGGGCCCTCCACAGCGGCGACCTGCCGCAGGAAGCACCAAGACGAGGAGGATCGAGGATCGCGGATCGAGGATCAAGGATCGAGGAACGAGGATCGAGGATCGAGGATCGAGGAACGAGGATCGAGGATACAGGCTCGAGGAGGAAGAGCAGGACGACGAGAAAGAAGAAGAGGAGAGAGAGGCTAAATCAGCAATCATACAGCAGTGAACAAAAGTGGAATAGAGGAAACTGACACGAGGGACGGAGTTCCTGGGGCGATCGGGCCCTGGGCCCCGAACACAGGACTGGCGCTTCATCCTTGAACCGCTTTCTGGCGATCCTGCGGGGGTGGCCCCTGAGACGCCAACCAACGAACAACGCCAACAGCAAGGAAACGATACCGGCTGTGTGCCCCATCGAACCCTGCAGCACTTACGGGGGACACAGAATCCGCTGGAGGCCCCTTTTGTGAGGTGGGAGAGCCCAGGCAATAATTAGCTGGTGTTATCACAGCCTGTTGTAGGTGAGCGCATGGTGGGTGTAGCCTATCACAGCCTGTTGTCACAGCCCAACGACGAGTCCTACTCACGAAGCATGTGCCCACCAGGGGAGCTACCTCCCAGTACAACCTCCCAGCCAACCTCCCACTGCAACCAATTGCAATAAAATTGAATGAACTGAAGCGGGCCCCTTCCGGTCAAGAGCTAAACGGGACGCGAGTAGCCCTAGCTGCGTTCAAACCGGCATAACAAATATGCTCAAAAGAAGGAATGCAGAGCAGACCTCCTAGAAGGGCGCAGTCGCCGCTCAGCACATCCGGCAGAGTCCGCATCAATTTGCCCCCGGGCGCAGAAGCCGCCGCGCTTCACCGAGCCGCCAGCGGACGACTCCGCAGCTTCACGGGACAAAGGCCGCACAGGTTCGGGTGCGTAGGTTCGGCGGCGAGCGAGGGGGGGAAGTGAGAAGCAGAAGGCCGTCTCAGAAGGCGGCGGTGCTTCTCGGAAGCCCTAACGCCTCCCGAGAAGCTCTCGGTGTCTTCGGGGAAGGCTTAGAAAACTTCTCAGAAGGACGGAGGACTTCCGAGACTTATGAGCTTATGAGCTCAGCAGGTCTACCCCTTCTCACTTCCCCCCCCCCAGGCTCGCCACCGATAGGTGTGCTTGCGTGCAGTCGGGTGCGGGGGCGTGTCTGCACGCGTGGCGTAGATCCGCCGACCCCCGCTTGCTCGGGGAAACAAGGCGTGTGAGATGAGTGGCTGTCCCCCTTCCTCTTCCCCCCCCCTCTGCGGTCCACAAGCGCGTTTAGTTTGAGTGGGGGCGGGGGCAGAGGTCGCCAACGGCCTTCGGTGGCCCTCGGATAGCCTCGGATAGGGAAGAGGCCACAAGATGGGCCAAGAGAATCCTGACAGGGCCACATGACGGGCCAAGAGAGCTCCGAGACGGCCCAAGAGCGCTCCAAGTTGCCCAAGATGTCCTCGAGGCGTCTCAGAAGGCCCCAAAACAACTAAGAACAATCCACGAACTCACCCATGAGGCCAAATTCATTCATTTCCCATAAGTTTCAAAAGATGTTAGCGTCATCGCCTGCTCGAGCTTCCGACGCTCCAGGAACGCCCAAAAGGTTCCCAAGCTCGCCCCAACACAGCCCAAGAGGCCCCCACATGGGCCCCAATAGGGCCCCCACACGGCTCAAAAGAGCCCTGCGAGGCCCCTAAGAGTCCCCGAAGACAGCCAAAGACGGTCCCAAGAGAGTCTCAAGAGAGCCCTAAGAGAGAGAACCCGATCTGGCATTCCGAGCCCTCCGCCCACAAAAAATTGTACTCCGAGACCGGCCGCAACAAACACGCCCTTTTCTTCCCCGTCCCACTCCCACAATGCGCGCCCCTTCCCCACACCAACACATCAACACCCACCAGAGCACCACATCCGGCAGAGACCTACACCATGGCCCCGGGAGCTTGCCCAAAAATTGTGCCCCCAATAGAAAAAGGCCCAAAATGAAGCCCGATACGGCCCCCAGAGTCCCGATGACCTCCCACGTCCCACCGCAACCAAAGAAGACGCACGCTGCATGTAGACTCCTTATCCTTCTCCTCCTTCTCTCCTCCTCCATTATCCTCTCCTCCCACGCTCTCCCACCTCCTCCTTGCCGCTCCTCCCCCTCATCCTCCTCCTCTCCTCCTCCTCCTCCCTCCTCCTCCTCCTCCTCCTCCTCCTCCTCCTCCCCCACCTCCTCCTCCTCCTCTCCTCCTCCTCCTCCTCCATCCTCCTCCTCCTTCCCCACCTCCTCCTCCTCCTCTCTCCGATTGCCGTCCCCCATCTCTTATTATCCTCCTCCTCGCCTCCTCCTCCTCCTCCTCCTCCTCCTCCGCTCCTCCTCCTCCTCTCCTTTTCCTCCTCCTCTCCTCCTCCTGGCTCCTCCTCTCCTCCTCCTCCTCCTCCTCCTCCTCCTCCTCCTCGCTCCTCCTCCTCCCCACCTCCTCCTCCTCCTCCTCCTCCGCCTTCCTCCTCCTCCTCCTCCTGCTCCATCCTGCTCCTCCTCTCCTCCTCCTCCTCCTCGTCCTCCTCCTCCTCCTCCTTATAAACATCGTAAGACGGCTCCCTCCTGCAACCCCTCCCGCAGGAGCCCGCTTCGACCAGATTGGAACGGAGGAGGCGGCATCTGCACAGTGTGCCACCCTGGCGGGACAGGTCTCCAGCGGTCTCCTACCCCTGGCCGTGGCCGCCGGGATCTTCGAGTCCCAGGTCGACCCATCCCTCCGCTTTGGCCGGAGGCTCTATGCCATTGCCGCGGGGGCCTCCTCCAGGTCAGATGAATGCTACGCGGCGTGGGCGCGGGTTTTCCTTGATTGCCCGCCATGGAAACCAGCAGCCCCGGCTTTCGCTGAGCTGGGCTGGACGCTCTCGGGCTCGGGGCGCGCGGTCATAGACGTAGCTTCGAGGCGGGCGGGGCTCTGGCGGCTGCCAGAATCCGACCTCTACAAGACAGTTTTCGTACGTGCGCACCAAGCGCCCGGGCGCACGGGGTCGCGAGTATCGCAGAATCTGTTGGAGGCCTGGGAGCTGCCAGATTGGCCATTCTGGGAGGCTTCGTATCCAGGGTCCAGCCTGGAGTCGTACAAGGCCAGGGTCCAGGAGATCGTAGAAGAGCGCCGTCAGAGGCAGCTGGTTCAAGAGCTGGCCCTGCACATGCGTCCGCTCCCCTATCTCTCCCTGGGCGGAGGGGTCCGGCGCGATCTATCCCAAGCCTTCTCGATGGGGCTGAGTTGGGATGAGCTCCAAGGCCAGAGGGCGCTCGCGCGCCTTTGCCTCCGCCTGGTGCGTCTCACCCATGTAGGGGGAGCACGCTCGTGGGCCAGTCGCCAGCAGGGCATCTGCTGCGGCACCATCACCCACAGCCCCACAATGCATGTGCTCGCTGCTTGCGCGAAGACCGGCCCTCTCAGGCAAGCTTTCTGGCAGGCGAGAAGAACGGATGCGCCGCCCGACAAGGAGTCCAACGTCAGGGCGGCCCTGTCTGTTCGACCGGGCGATGCAGGGTATGCAGAGGCGGCTGCGCTGGCGGTCTTCCTCGAGACGGAGGAGGCAGACTTTTGGGCAGGGCCACGGGAGTCCGAAATCCTTCTTGTCTCCAGGGGTAGCCCCCACTCCCTCCGTACTCCTAGTCCCGCAGTTGCGTATTGCGTCGACATGAGGCGGCCGGGGTCCGGGCAGGGGCCCCTGCCGGAGAGGTCCCCGAAAGGAGCCTCTCCCCAGGCCTTCCCCTCCTCTTCCCCACCGCGTTCGCTTTTCGGGCAAAGGCGCGGTCTCTCTTGTGCAGGCAGGGGATTGGAGGCGGGCAGGAGCGGGCCGGGCAGCCGTGGGCTGCCCCCCCGCCCTCCCCCCCCCCTGCACGCATGACTGAGCCCGCCCTTTCCCTGGGCGGACGTCGCGGAGTCGAAGCAGTCGCCGTCCCGGCCCTGCAACTCTCTGCCAAAGGACCCGAGCCCGAGGGCCCAAAATACAATCATCTACGGGAGGACACCTACCTACCTACCTACCTACCTACCTGCCTACCTACCTACCTACCTTCCTCCTCCTCCTCCTCCTCCTCCTCCTCCTCCTCCTCCTCCTCCTCCTCCTCCTCCTCCTTATAAACATCGTAAGACGGCTCCCTCCTGCAACCCCTCCCGCAGGAGCCCGCCTCGACCAGATTGGAACGGAGGAAGCGGCGACCCCCGGCGGACTCACTCGACCCAGAGAGGCTCCACGAGGAAGCCTCGAAATGGCCACCAGAACATCACAATACGTCCCGACTTGATCGCGCTCCTCCTCTCCTCCTTACTCCCACCGTCGTCGTCGTCGTCCAGTCCATCCTCTTCCTCCTACTCCCTCCTAAATCTGAGGCTCGGCGGAACGGCGTCAGCCTCTCGAAAACCACCTATGAACGCGCGTGCGTATGTGCACGAAGTCGTGCAGACGTCAAGATCTGACACGCCTGACCGAATGAGCCTCGCCATGTGACTACTGTCGAAAATGAGCGTGCCTCGCAAATGGTGGTTTGCATGGCCGGAGCTGCTGCCCCATCTTAGTGGATCGCCGTGCCGGACGCCTTTGCATGTGCATCTGGCCCCTCTTTTGGATTACGGTAGTCTCGATGCACCATCATCACAAAACTGAGCATATTTCACCCTGCCCTACTGTGACAAGTACTCTTCAACACGCATCCTCCACAGGCAGACGCACGCAAGCACAGACACGCATGCATGTCGGTGAACATGCAAGCACTCAGGCTCGTCGATAGATTCGCGCCTATCCCTCAACCAACACCCGCACACGTGCAGGCAAAGACACGCATGTACCTCAACGTGTGCGTGTACACTCGGAGGCAAACGAAAAGGTACCGTGAAGAGCTGGCCTGCATCAACACACAAAAAGGGGCACACACACAAAAAACATGCAACGCCAGATCAGACCAATGCATGTTTAAGTCTGGCCCTGCCCCCACGGGCGGACGTTCCGAAAGTACCCTTGGGAACAACAGAAGCATCACGAGGGAGGAAGATCAGCTGAAGAAAGATCAACAGCAACAGCAACCGCACGGGAAACGGAAGCCAGGAGGGACGGCCAAGAGGACAAATAGGGAGAGAGGGAAAGGAGAAGGGAAGGCAGGAAAACGAGCAAAGCGAGTGGAGGGGGGAGACGCAGCAGCAGCGGCACCAGCAGCGGCACCAGCAGCAGGAGGACATGGGCCTGGACCCGGAGCATCAGCGGGAACACGAGCAATCGCAGGTGCGGGCGCAGGAGCAACTGCAGCTGCATGCGACGCGGCAGGAGCCTCGGCAGGGACAGCAACAGCAAAAATAAACAGCAGCTGTCGGAGCAGCGGGAGCAGCAGGAACGGCCTAGGCCAGAGTGGGAGGGCGTCAACTATACGCCTACACTGACAGTGGCCAGGCCCATCCTGGGCCTAGGATCGGTGCACATGCAGTCCTCGCCCATTCGCGGGGGCGTAGACACCAATCCTGGACAGCCCCCGAAAGGGCCCCGAGAGGCCCCAAGAAGCCCGCGATGGATTCCCGAGGGGCGCCTCCGAAGCCCCCTGAACGCCCTCAAGAGTTTCTCAAGACGCCTCCGACAGCAATCAAGGGGTGTAGCAAAAATAACAGCACAGGATCTTAATCAGTGATTACTGTCGGCTCGTGCTGTCATGCTCTGGTGGTGAAACTTGGGTGAGAGATGTGCACCTATGGGTGTTGCCGTGCGTCGTCCCTGTTTTCCCACGCGCGAGTTTCCAGCGTCAGTTCGGAAATGCGACCACTACTCACCAATTCTCCAACTTTCACGAACGAACGGGCGAACAGCAAAACGGCACGTGTATTTGTTGCAACTGGGACAATCAAGAAGACCCCATCGAAGACGACACGCGCCCCTTAAAGCTGCCGCGTGCCCATATTTGGGTGGGGCGTGCAAGCTGGTTGGAAAGGCACTGTTTCCGTTGA